ATGTTTGTGTGGGTTGGGAGGGGGTATGTTTGTGTGGGTTGGGAGGGGGTATGTTGGTGTGGGTTGGGAGGGGGTATGTTTGTGTGGGTAGTGGAGGACATGAGTCAGTCCTATTAACTTTGAGCCGGCCCCATGATCCTAGCCGAGTCCGTGACAATCTAGATTTACTACACCCAAATAAATTCCCGATTACTCCGAATTTACACATTAGAGTATTAAACGACCATTCATGTACATTACCTGTTATTTAGTTACTTCGGTTAGGTTTTCACTGTTTCCTGCCCGTTGCCATCGTCCTCCTCTGAGATGTCTTTCTTACGTCTCTTAGGCGACAATGTTTATATGACGTTACAAAATACATGACGTCATAGTATTAGTTGTAATCATGTGTAGCCATTGTGACGTCAAATGGTTTATGGCGACACAAATAGTGATACACGGGTTGGGTAAACGAAGTACCATTTTTTGTTGAGAATTGTTTTTGCCTATTATCATACAAAATTATAATGAGATATTCTACGGTTGTCTATCTAATATGTTCAAAGATAACAAATAATTATCATTCTACCATCAATAATAGAAAATTACCTATCATTGTTAATGAACGAGATATAAATGCATTTTGAATGTAAAGTTTATATCTTTATGGTGAAACTCATTTCTACTTTTCCTGATACTTTTATTAAGACTGAGTTCTGGTTATATATATAAAACCGCAGTCATATCAATGACATTTCACATTTTATCAACTACGTGGAAGAATTTAAGAGTTACCTACGTGAAGCTGATTGTCGTTATCAAAGATAACACTTGACGTTTCACCATGTCACATGATTCAAGCGGGTAGCAAGAAAGTTCTAATTTTAGCACAGAATGAACCCAGACTTGAACAGGAACGGGTCCAGACGAGCCGTTTTGGAAAAAAATGTATCATCAGAGCGGGTAATTATTTGCTGGAATTATTTATTTTTGTCTCTGTTTGACGAATCAAACTCGAATGTGTACCTACAGCACAGGGTGGTACAAACTTGTACCTACCCAGGTTAGAACACATAGCCGACTCATCACAGAAACGTGTATTTCTACAGTGCTACGTCAACAAGAAATGTATATATACAATTCCAATTTCGAAGTACTCCAGTATCATGTGCTGCCTAATACGAAGAACACTCCTCAATAGCATATATTTTAACACAAAATTTAGTACAATTTACTATTTAAATTTAATGATATAACCTTCCAGTTTTAAAGAGTTCGGATGACCCGGGTTCGTATCCTCCAATTTAGCCGTGACTGTTCTTTTTCCTTTAACCGTCAATGTTGTAACACGCTAACTACTGGTGGCAAGGATACACAAATGTACACGACTACTCTATCCATTACTGGTTTGGGTATTAAGGTCATAGAACTACTCGTTCACTGGTGACTAGGGTGACCAAGGTCTTAACCAGGCTGTCCATTTCTAGTCGTGGTACTCAATGGTTACATCATGCGTCATCAATTGTTTCTGACTATGCCTAAGCTGCTCGAACAAGTTCGCTTAATATAGGGACGGAACAACAATGGTATATCGGTACAAAAAAGACGAGTCGGTTACATCAGGGGCGGATCCAGAAATTCTGAAGGGAAGGAGAGTTCACATATATTGCGGTTAGTATAAGTAGCGACCATCAAGTATTCCCCACCCACCCTTATATTGTGTCTGGTACAAGTATT